TCAGGTTTGGAACTTGGTTGACAATGTGCTAGGTCATAAGACGGTTGGGTGTAAATGGATCTTCAAGAAAAATACCGACATGGATGGGATCGTACACACATATAAGGCATGATTGGTTGCAAGGGATTTACTCAAACTCTTGGAGTTGACTATGACGAGACCTTCTCACCAGTAGCCAAAATCAAGTTTACAAGGGTTATGCTAGCCGTAGTTGCATTTCATGATTATGAAATATGGAAAATGGATGTCAAAACCGCTTTCCTAAATGGGAAGTTGGTTGAAGATGTTTACATGAGTCAGCCAGAGGGTTTTGTTACTGAAAAGTACCCTAATAGAGTGTGCAAGCTTGAGAAATCCATTTATGGATTGAAACAAGCATCTCGCAGATGGAATCTTTTTTTCGATAAGAAAGTCAAAAGTTTGGCTATTCGAGAAGCGAGGATGAGTCATGCCTATATGTCAAAGCTAGTGGGAGTATAGTTAGCTTTCTTTTATTGTATGTAGATGGCATACTGCTCCTAGGAAACGACGTCCTAACTTTGCAGGAAGTTAAGTCCTAGCTTGGGAAGTTTTTCGCTATGAAGGACCTCGGGGAAGCTGGTTACATTCTGGGGATAAGGATTTCGAGAAATAGGAGTAAAAGACTAATAGGACTTAGTAAAGTTTCTAGTTGGACAAGGTGTTGAAACGTTTCAACATGGAGAACTCCAAGAAAGGTGAATTACTTATCATTAGCAATACCAAATTGAGTAAGACTCAGAGTCCAAGTACAAATGCTGAGATAGCAGAATTGAGTCGAGTACCATATGCTTTAGTTGTTGGTTCGATCGTGTATGCTATGACATGTACTCTCCTTGATGTAGATTTTGATTTGAGCATGGTTAGTCGATATCAAGAGAATCCTGGAAAAGCTCACTGGACTATGGTAAAGAACATTCTTAAGTACCTGAGGAGGACTAAGGACTGGGTCCTTATCCTCGGTGGGAGTGATGACTTAAGAGTGACAGGGTATAGTGACGCCAGTTATCAAACCGAAAGAGATAATTTCCAATCTCATTCGGGCTGGGTATTACCCTAAATGGATGAGTAGTAACATGGAAAAGTCCCAAATAGGAAACTATAGCTGATTCAACATGCGAATTAGAGTACATAGCAGCAAGTGAAGCATTGAAAGAGGCGATATGGATAAAGAACTTCATTGGAGACCTTGGAGTTGTACCAGCTGTAAAGGATCCTATGGAGGTTTTCTGTGACAACAAAGGTGCGGTCTCCTTAACCAAGGAACCAATGGATCATGGAAGATCCAAACACATAGACAGAAAATATTACTTCGTAAGACATCTAGTTGAAGAAGGACACCTCGTAGTGAAGGGGGTATCATTAAAGGAGAACCTAATAGATCCCCTTACGAAGGGACTGAGTAGGGTTAAGTAGTTGCAACATGCTAGGAGTATCGGGCTGAAGGACGATATTAGTTTTAGTGATTAGATAGATTTTTAGAAACTTGTAATAGCTAAAATGTAATTGACATTTGATGATTGAATAAAAGGAGTTTTATTTTTAAGTAAATATAGTATCTTGTGTCAATTGTGTACTATTGTTTCACATTTCCATGTTTTGACTTCCAGAATAATAAGATTATTCAAACTATCCACAATCGATCATACTTTGGAAGTAGGTTATGAGACTAGACTGTCATGAATGGGTTTGCAAGATTGTCTAAGGTGTTAGACATAGCAAAAGTTTGCTACAACATTCATGAGTGCTCTTGAAATAATATTTGAGTCTTGGATTAAACCCACGCTCACATGAATCACTTCATGGAATTTATCACGGGTGATTGTGAGACGATAATATCGTATAGTTTTCACACCAAGATATATGAGTTGTTGATTACAAATTGATTGTACATTGATAATATGAAACCGCATCACTAACTTGATGTTATAAAACATATTGTTGTGTATGATTTAACGAGTAGTTAGTACAAGCATATAAGTCTAAGTTTATCTATTCCTTTTATCCTAATATGATTAAAAGCGATATCTTGGGCCCCTCAATGATTTTTTTGACTTATATGTCGGGCTTGGTTAGGACTCAAGTGATGTGTTCAATTAAGTTCTATGTCAAACAAATCAGAATCGGGAAAAAAATTGTTGGACAAAGAGTATGACTTTATTCTATGTCTTTGTCCACATGATATCTTGAAGAATAAAGGATTATATGATCCCTTATTTAATGGACGCGTTAGAGTTTGACAACGACTTTTGAGAGCTACATTGGTAATCGGATTTTGAAGAAGCATTGGAAGTTATAGTTATTAGACTTATCCGAGTGGGAGACTGTTGGATTAAGTGTCTAAGACCATAACTATAATTATTATATACTTGACACGATAATGGCATGGTCCATTTTGGGTTTCCTTCACCAGAGCAATTTGACAGGATGGATATTTGAGAAAGAGCTAACTTGTGGTTTATTAATATATTATAAGAACAATATATCAATTGAGAAATCATATTATTTAATTGGTATTGATCAAGAATTTATTTGGAGTTAATTTAGTGATCAAGAGAGACTGATTAAATAAATAGGGATTGATTATGTAAATCAGTGATACATATGGTTTGGGCTAATGATCCATGATTGATTAGTAATGGAGTAAGTTTATATGAGAGTCCATAAATATTATTGGATTAAAATCCTAAGTTTATGAATTAAGGTTTACAAGTGACCCTTGCAATTCTACGCTATAAAAGTGTTCCCTTAGCTCCAAAATTGATACACAAGTATTTCCAAGAAAAGACTAGCCGATTTTGGTGACTCCTAAACTTCTGTCATTGTCCTCCAATTGTTGGTAATGTTTGTGACTTGATTGTGGCATCACACTTGAGGTGCTAAGCTCTTATAAGGCCAAAGTTCTACAAGGTACAACAAGAGGTAATCTTCTAACTAGTTTTTATGATTCATATATCAAAGTTGCATGCTGGTTAGGCTTCATGCTTTGGAAAAATAATATTGCACGTATAATTAGAGAAAACTTAGAATCCAAAGCTTTAGGGTTGTATGTGCACCATAGGGATGTTAGAGTACATAAAACCCGTCAGTTTATGGGTTGTAAGTGGTGGTGATGGGTGATGTTGGGTGGGTGGTGAGTGATGTAGGTTAGTGGGTTTTTTCAATTGTTTTTAACAATTTTTTTATTTATATGAATATTATTTTATAGTTTTGATTTAATTACAAAAGTGTCACCTTGCAAATTAAAGTAGGATTTTTGTTCTCAAATGTTATCGCAATAAGAAATGTTCTTGATGGATAATTTAAAAGTACGTCACATTAAAATTAAATCATTCACAAGTTGGAAAAATGATATAAGTAAAAGGTGATGGATAATTTAAATGATAAAAATCATTTTTATAAGATATCCCTAAAATTTTTAATTGTGAACATAAAATACTTGTAGCGATATAGTCTTCATGTTTATGATAACAAGTGTTTACCATCTTATAAACAATAGGCATAAAAATACATATAGTGACATATAGTCATAATCATAATACCATAAAAATTATATTTATAAGATATCCCTAAAAATACATATAGTCATAATCATTTCATTTTTGCATAACTATTGTGTATCCTATAGACACATAAAACATGTTAATCATTTATCATGAGAATTGTTTAAATTTAGTCACATTATCATGATCACTACTAGAAAAACAGCCTTTTACGACGCTCATTGCGCGTCGTAAAAGGCTCAGACGACGCGCAAATGCGCGTCAGGGAAGGCCCTGTCATAAAGAGAGACGACGTGCAATTACAACGCGCGTTTACGACACACAATGCGTATCCAGGAAGGCCCTCTCATAAAGGAAGACGACACGCATTCGTGTGTCGTAACCTTACGACGCATGTGTTAATGACACGCAACACGTATTAAGAAAGCCCCTATCAAGAAAGGCCATGTCATAAATGAAGATGACACACATTTTTGCATATCGCAAATTTAAATGTTTAAAAAAAATTATATATTTATTAATTCTTAAATTAAATTTGCATTTAATTTCTCATAATAGAAATAAAATATCATATACAAAAAATACAATCCATTGCATAATATAAAATAAAATTTCATACTAAAAAAATAAAATAAATTGCACAAATTATAATGTCATATAAAGAATCATTCAAATGTTAAAAAAAATAATACATTGCTAACATGGGATATACATTCCTATAAAACTAACAAATAATCATACAACTCTGTTTCTTACTGGAAAGGAATGCCAAACATGATTACAAGTCTCCCTTAATCTTGATTACTCACCTGCTTAAGTAGAATGCTGTTGTTGAGAAGGTTACCTAGCAACAGAGAAAAACGCAACACCTCTCCCACAATCACAACATCATTTACAGAAAAAGGGTTGTCAATTACTTTCATTAAGACTTTCATTCAATCACAAAAATATTAAATAAAAGGGTGAAAAAAATAACTTACTTTTGATAAGTTGATCTCCCTTAGAGCAAACACAGCTAAAGCATTGAATAAGACCCTATTTCAAAATTTTGTAAATACACAAATCATGATACCTGATATTGGAATACACACTTTGAGACATAAATTAATACGAGTAGATTAACCTGGATGCATAGGAAGTAAAGATGGAAGGTGCCAGAACTCCGGGGGCATTGGTACCTCATCTTGCCAAAACAAGTTTATGTTTTTTGGAAATAGTGAAGCCAAGTAACATAATACTTGAAAATCCCATGAAGAGCAAAGTAATTATCTATTGTTATTAGTAATAATCCCATTTCTAGACCCTATAGGAAATAATATTCCAGTAAGATCAAAGGAGAAGATTCTATATGATTAGATTAGGGTAGCAGACAAATGACCTCAAATGTCCAATCTTACTTTCATTAGAAAGAATATTGGAAATGCTACAAGCTTCACTCCATAGGTAAGTGTTCCCTAATGGACGCCATATTATCCGACCTTATTCTGCTAAATGTAGAGGAAGAGGAAACTCGTGTCCTGGATATACAGGGTCCAGAATCTTGGGAGATACACCAAATAGGATATCGAATCTGACTTCAAATGGCATTGTTGTTGCATTTGTGAGTATGACCTGGCATCAAAATAGAATCTTTTTAAAGAAAATAGCTAGAAACCATTACAAGTGTTCTGAAAGCAACCTCAATCAAGGATTCTGTAACATTGTTATTGAGATTCATTGTTGACTCGAGATGAACATCTGTCATGACTGGGCTGTTTTGAAGGGCACTTTTTCCTTGCTCTCTTCTTAAGCTTAATTGGAACTTCCAGGGTTCAAGGAAAGGCTCCCATAATACCTGGAGAGTATAATAAAAATAAGTTATCATCAATTCATCATTGCATAAATTGCTAGAAAAATTACTTCTCCTTATGAATGTTATTGTAGTTCACTTGAAGCTCACTATCAACCGATCCTTCCATCACATTTGCAGTTATGATACCATGAAACAACAAGCTTCCCATAAGAATCTCTAGTAGAGGACCATCGGAGCTCCACTAAATAATCAAAATCATAGATTAAATAAACATGAGTTAATGGTTTTGAAAATGAGAAAATAGTTTTACATACCTTTTCATCTGTCAAAAGAATGGAAACCTTTCGTAAGAGAAATCTGAAATTTACACTGCCAACTGAAAATGGTGCCACCACTACATAAACCTGAACCAATTATTGATGGTGACATGTATCCCAAAAATGGCGCCAGCACTACATAAACCTAAAACCAATTATTATTATTAATGGTGACAAGTGTGCGGAAATTTTGAACTTTTAGTAGGATAATATAAAAATACCTACCTCCATTGCTTTCAGTAATGATTCATCCTGAACAATGCATAATGCTAAAGCAGAAGAAGCATTGAGGTTTTCCAGAATAGGAGAATAATAAGTAGGATAGAATGGCACAAACAAGTTTATCTGCAGGAAGTCACACATCGGTCAGTAAGTTATGTGAAATGTGAGATGTTGAGTGAAAATGAGAGAGAAGATGCTGACAGCTAACCTGGAAGTCAACTAGTTTAATTTCCAAGAGATCATACAGATCTTGAATCTGAGTTCCTTCTAGAAGCTCACTTGAAGAATTTTCATCTATTAAATTCCTCATGAATTGAGAAAGTACGTTGATATCTGGTACAAAATAGCTAACATCATGATTGGATGAAAAGGTGACAGTTGTTAATCCAAGTACCTGTGTATGTTAAGGTTTGAAGTTAATACAAATACAAATAATAATAATGTGAACCTCGTATGACAATTTAAAAAGAAATCAATAGCAATTTATGTATCTCTGACTTCCCATTCTCCCAGGGAATAATTATCTTGATGTTTATTAAACTAATATCTTACATCATTCTCTTCCGACCTAACAACATGTATCTACAAAACAAAACAAGAGAAAATACATATGTGTAGTTTAAAGACAATATTGCTTCCTACTAATCCCATTTCTAGACCCTAAAGGAAATAATATTATTCCAACAGTAAGATCATAGGAGAAGACATACTCGGCTTTCGATGTTAGACGTGACTTCATGTCTTTTATCCCATTAAGCGAGTTTAGGACCTGTAACATGCAACTAGTTTCTCAAAAACATCATAAGTTAATCATATAGAATCTATTAGTTGTGTTTCGTATTAATGGAATAATGAATTCAATATCTACAGATAAAGAATGCATCTACTTTGAGACATGTAAGACTTAAAAAATCATGCAAGTACTTCAAAACATGTAAACTAGAATAACACTCACCCTTCCTTCGTGAGATTGAAAGGAAGCCAACACAATATATAACTCCACAAAATTAACAAGATAGGTTGGATCACATGTCATTTCAATCGGCTCAAGCAAAACCTATAAACAAAGTTAAGGGTCATTGTCATTATCAGAAGTTTATAGCACAAGATATTTATAAAAAAATTCAATTTGGGTACCTCCCAAATCATGCACTACATTGTGTCTTCAAGGCAGCATCGTCATACCCTGAGGTAAACATTATAAAATTTATTTTTTTTACCCTTTTCACATAAATAAATTTGTGTGAGGAGAGTAGCATAAAAACTACTTTTTAAATACTTATCATGCTCATAAGCTACAAATTGCTCATTGTTGAAATACTTCACAGTCTAAAGGAGAAAAAATAAGTTGTAGGATAAAGAAAAAATAATGAAAGGTAAATTGTGATCTTACATATTATATTTGCACAAGAGAATCGATTGCCCTTGTGCTTGCATCATTATTAGCTTTGTTCATTGTCTTCCTAAATTTAGTCCTCCACTAGAAAACTGAAATATAGAAAAGCGCACATAAGTAAAAATATTCCTCTATCAGCTTTCATCAAAAGTCAATTTCATATTTAAAAAAAAAGGCATACTTGTGTTATAGTCAAAGTGAAGGGAACGTATGCAACTAGTTACAATGAAATGAATGACTCATTTCCTTTTACCGTGAAAGAGAAGCCCCAACCCAACAAACATCTCTCTCAGAACAAATGCTCAACTACCTTTAAGTCCACCAATTAATTAACAAAATTCAAACAAAAAAGAAGAAAGCTAAACAAAATACCCACAACCAAACCCTTCTTATCTCATCTCACACTATCCAACACCTGTAAGTCCACCATAAATGAACTGCTAGTTGCTAATTTTCAACTAAGTTATTTTCCAATAATAGTATTGTCAATATAAAACTATATAGACCTGCAAAATCAAATAGAACATAGTGTTAAATATGCAGAAAGCAGCTAAGATATGAGAATCTGTATTGTAATCACAAAAAATCTTAATGAAGTGCAGAGCTTCATATAAATTTACCTTAGATTCAAGATGAATGTTTTGATCAGGTTTCTTACTGCAAGCATTGACAGCAAAACAACTACTATTGGATGTATCAGTTCGTGTGTGGTAGCTTCCATGGTTGAAAATGCTTTCTCGTGAAGAAATTTGCAAAGCTTTGTGAGCAGCATCCACGAAAACATTAACATCTTCTTCTGCAGCACCTGGAATTTCCCCTGAACACAATATTTCGAACATAACCAAGTTAACATACAAAAACCCTAACAACTTACACAACCATGAATTCAATAACAGATGTGCAAATCGCAAAAACATAATCTTCCCTGAATTCATTGAATCTTCCAAGTTTCTATTCATTGATATTGCATTCTTGAGGTCAATAGAAGGCATCAAATTCGAATCTTGACTTGTTTTCATATGATGAATAAACATATAAGCAAACTCAAAGAATACGATGATAAATGGAAGGAGAATAGGGGTAATAGTTGAGTACACGAGTCCAAGCAAGAAGTACAACTGTAATCGAGGCTCGGTTACAGGCCAAAGCAATGAACCAAGATCCATGGTTTCCTCTGTCTTCTCCAGGATGGCGACTGATCCAAGAACTCTTTTAGTTATTGAAGCGCGGTTCCAGTTATGATGCTTCTGGGAAACACATTGAGATGTAAAAAAGATGAAAGAGATTAGAATGTCGCATACGAAGATACTTCCTCCATATGGAGCCTAAATAGAACTTGGATCAAAGAGATTATAAGGTCGCATACAAATAGTATAAAGCAAAGAATAATTTGATTTATTACCGATAGATCTTTGAGGAGGTGAAGTGTGAACAAAGCTGTGGGGGCTAGGTTTCCTTTACGATTCTAGGGTTTGATGAATTGTGTTAATCGAACGATACAACCCAGGAGAAAACTGCTTGCTCTTTCATGGGACCTTCTTTGAGAATTTTAACAAACAACGAGCATACACCGGTGTTCAACACTCTCAGGATTACGACAAAGCAATCCGATTGCAGACTTAGTGTTCTCCTGACCTTTTGGAGATCGAGAAATGAAGGAGAAGAAAATGTAGAGAGAGAAAAAAAAGTCTGAGAACCATTTGAAGAAGTTAACGAATTCATATGAGAAATTAGGGCTCGTATGAAACTGTATCTCTTCCGTCGAGAACCCTTATGGGTTTGATCTGTTCAAAAGACGGGATTATATTGCGATTTTGTTGTGGGAAAAAAGAGGATTGGTGATGTTATTAGGGTTTTTTTGGTATTAGAGTCAGAGAGATAGAGAGAGAAGAACGATGGAAATAAGGCAGAGGGTAACAATGGCGACCTTTCAAACTTTTGGGATTTTTGTTTCCCCCCAGCTGCAAAAGAAAAGAACGCGCCTTTCATTAAAAAATTATAAAGCGACATTTCTAGACGACACCCATTTTTAAATAAGTGCCCTCCGTGTTTTATTTTTTTATTATTTATTTATTTATTTATTTATTTATTTTTTGACATTAATTTTAGGGCACGCATAAAAACGTGTCCAATGTCCTTCAAATTTTAGAAGATAACATTATTTTTAGGGCACACGCTTTTGCATATAGTAAATCACCGCGTGTCATTGTTTGCGCGTCATTAAAGGGCTGTTTTCTAGTAGTGGATATTTTACAACTTGTAGTGACAAATTTTTGTTTTAGTCAAAAACCGCCTAAGTGCTAATCAATCAAATTGAATGAGAGGCTGTGATATTCTGAATATGTAATTGTAAATGATGAAAGAAAGTGACGTGATGGTTTAAAACGAAAGCCCTTGACCCTTGCTAGGATCTTCGACATAAAACCTTCGGAGGTTATAATGATCACATGCCTTGATGATTTTATTGATATAAAATGTTGATTACAGTTAATTGTAAGTAAGAATGAGTGAACAATTTCTTAGAGTAGGCTTCTGGTGAAAAAACAGCGTGTTGTGTGCAGATTAAAAGTGTCAATTTATAGTCTAAACTAGCCAATTAGATTTCCAATATTTCTAAGATCCTCTATGACTAGCTTTATGAACGTTATTTGACCAAGTATTCCGGGTCTTTAGCATTGTTGAGACGATTCTTTGTTGAGAATTGGTCTTCCATTGAATACTTCTGCACGCGTGTTAGTTATAGACAAAATATGACGGTTATAAATTTTAGTAAAAATAATAACGGTAGTTAGCCAGGATCCTGAGGTAGCTGAGGATCCTGAATATTTCAGGATCCTGAATATTGTAAGGATCTTGGCCCCAACAATTGACATTAAGTTATTCCTGAAAATATAGTAGTTAATTTTGTAAATATTAAAGGAATAACTTAAAGTAAATAGATAAAATGAGAGAGAGTAGTAATTTTCAGTTTTAACCCTTAACGACTAGGTAATTTGAAACCCAACAGATAGATTACTAGTCGTTAACAGTCAAATCATATTAATTGGTCCAGTATAAATACGAGTGATCAGTTTCGTAATCTTCTATCCATTCTTCTTTACTTTTCTCGTGCTATCTTGCAATCAAAAGGTAATTCTTTTTTTTCTAGGCTTCTACTCTTTCTACCATGGGTCGAAAAATGCATGTCTCTCGTAAAAGCATTTTAGCTCTTCTTGATGATAATTTTACCGATCAAGGGATCCTCTCTTATGACGAGTGATGAGTTGAAAACTCTTTTTAGATCGTATAGATTCTTAACAAGTAAATTAGAAAGTGAACAAAAGCATGAAGACACGATGAATCAAACAAGTGTTGAATGATTAAAATTGCAACACCTCAGAAGAGCTCGACAAAGAAATTTTATTTTACAGGTGTGATAGGGTTACAATACAATCAAAGAGAATGATAATTAAGAAGTGTGAAGATAACGATGCATGCATGCATCATATATATATATACTAAACCCTAATGACATAAACACGGTTGGACAGGCCCAGACCGTGACAATATTGGACCAAGATAACAAGCCCAATGACGCAACTCCTAGACTCAACAATCTCCCCCTTTGCATCAATAGAGGCGAGAGATCATTTTGGTTGAGTGAGAGTGGATTTCTTCATAGTATTGAATAGATTTGGTATGATGGAGAGAATAGTTTGACGAAAGTCAGTATACCATCGAAGCATATCCGAAAAATTATTCTTATCAGCATTACTGTTTTGACTACACCTGTGAATGATGTCAAGAATGTGCTCCCGACAAGTAGTGGAGAACAGGTGTTTATCATCAAGAGCGAACAAGCACTTTTGGCATTTGGCTTTGGTGAACATGACTATGTGATACTTCGGGTCAATCCTACCCATCTGCATCTTGTTAACGTCACTTGCCTTCCCAATTGGTTTGATTGTAGACTTCTTACTTAAGGCAGAGGCGATATCTTGATCCATCTTGGCAACCTCATGAATGTAAGAAGCTAACATTCGATTGATGTGATCGATGATATGCTCGTATTGTTGTTGATCAGTTAGCAAAATGTTGTTCAGGAGAATCCAGTCATGTGGGTTTAAGTTTGGCAGATCAGCAAGAGAGATCATATGAACCGAGTTGTCAGAGCCTCAGGTCACCCTAAACTTCACATTTATAAAATTCCTAGCTGAAGTTGGTTTCAATACCTTGACCGATGTGATCTTTTGTGCGCTCCAGGTCAAGTATTATGGTTGAGAGAATGCGGGATAGTAGTCAATTAATTCTCGGTCAACCTTCGATTCAGGAGAAGGAATAGCAACGATTGGCTTAAAGGAATGAAACACGAATGCCTTTCAGGTGGTAGGCATGTTGAACTGCGAGTCTCTCGAATTTTCATGATCAAACGAGATGACCGGTTCAAGCCAATGAGTGCAAGGAGACTTGAATGCTTCTTTTAAGAGTTTCTCCAACAACCACAAAGGAAATAGAGTTTTTCTACTTTCCAATGTGTCGTGAGCTTCTTTTCGTTTTCTTTCCCTCTCTTATAATACTCTTGCGATGCTAAGATTTTCATTAAGCTCTCGGTCACATTTCTTTCTTTTAAGAGCATCTTCTTCAGTTTCTTCCTCATAACTATCACCGATTATCTTTTTGCCTTTATCCTTCACACTAGAACCCGAAGCTTCATTGACCTTCAGTTTAGTGGTGACTTTTGGTTGTGAAGAAATTTGAGTAGGTTTGCTTGTTGGAGGTTGTGGTGGTTGACCCTGACTTGCTTCTCCCCCTTGTTTCGGGGGGACACCAGTCTCCGGAACACCTTCTATACGGTTCAACATTTCAAGAGCTAGTATCAGCTTCTCAGCCAAGTGCCTTCGGACGGTGAGAGTAATAACCGAATCATGTGCCTCTAGGAGATTGGATAGAAGAGAGTGCACATCACCAACACAGGTTTTGATAACTTCTATCTCAGACTTGAGAGCATCAATGTCCTTAGTCACCTGATTGAGCTTCAAGGACTGAGTCATAAGCTGTGTGGTTTTTAGGGCGATATCTTCCATGAATTTGTTTTCCAAGGCAAGATCATCCTAGAGTTTGTCAAGACGGACATTCACTGATGTTTGAAGCTCGGTGTTGTCAGAATTGATGCTTTGGAGTACTTCTTCAAAATGCTTCTTCTCAGCATGAAGTGATTTGGTGAGTTTCACAACAGTGGCATTAACAGTTGCGGCGTTCTTTTGAGCAGCCGCCTGAAGAGAATCTAGAAAGAGATTAGCATCAAAAATTAGTTTTTCGACATATTCGGTCCCTTTCCTGCATTAGTTTGTTGATTCTTCAATGACAATGGTTGCTTTTTGGCAAGAGGAGGTGGAAGCCTCAATGGATTTGGCAGCTTTGGAAATAGAGGAGTCATGTTCCTTGATAAAAGTTGCCAACACAACATTAATAGCAGTCTTGGAGTAAGTCTAGCTTGGAGTGGAAGAGGAAGAGGAAATCAACTTGTCAAGCTTCTCGTTAAGATCCTTTAAATGATGTTCGTTACAGGAGCATCATCATCATCATCATCGCTCTGAACTCTGTAGGGGCTAGAATAAAAGGAATCAAATTCAACATCCTCCCCACCGTGAACATTTTCATATTCGTTTGATTTAGGTGGAGATAGAGATTTAGAGGTAATCGGGGTTTCGGTTCCTGAGGTAGGTGCCCTCATATCAGATACGTTGACACGAACTTGATGTTCGGTTGTAGTAATGGTGGTAGTGATAATTCACGATGAGTTTCAATATAGGGACAATTGTATGTTATGTGTTATATGTTCAATGTGCTTTCCCATGTT